GGCTCAGGTCTCAAGAGTGGGACCAAGAACAAAAGACAGGTCTGTGAGGAACTTTCAAACCATTTCCCTGTGATAGAGACACACTCCAAAGCAGTGACGATAGTCTGATGGTTGGTTCTAGAGCCACGTCTACACTGGCTCCCTATGAGAGAGCTGCCACTTGTAGTTACAAGCTATGATCCCCAAACATTCTGCATGCTTATAAGAGACACAAGAGAATTTACAAAAGAGATCTGTAGATTGGGTCATTTTTTCCCTTCTCCACTACAAAGAACAAGAAGAATAATAGCCAACAGTTGCACGGAACATCCGGGTGTCAGGTACTGTTCCAAGCACTTGCACACATGCACATACTCATGTCTGTATATCTATCCGTAAGGTAGGTATACATTATCCCCATTTTACAGAGGAGGAAACTGAGGCTCAGAGAGGGTAAGTAACTTGCCCATGATTACACAGTTAGTAAGTGACAGAGGTGGCCCTTGTACCTCAGAAGTTTGGCTTCGCAGTTTGTATTTCCTACCACTCTACTATGCTAATGCAGTAGCCAGCATACACCTTTCAGGCGGCCCTTATCCCATGTGAGCCACAGGATGCAGGCCACCTGAGTCCCAGTAAGATGTAATATTGGTCTCAGCCCCTGAGAAGCTCAGGGAGGACTTGCTCACCAGAACTGTTAATGCGTTTTCTTGTCCGTGGCTAGAGATGTTAAAGAGTGTGCACATTAAGAATCTTATAAGTTGGCCGGGTGCAGTGGCTGGCACCTGTAATCTCAGCACTTTGGGAGGCCGAGGTGGGTGGATCACCTGAGGTTGAGAGTTTCAGAGCAGCCAGACCAATGCAGAGAAACCCCATCTCTACTAAAAATACCCAGGCATGGTGGCACACACCTGTGATCCCAGCTACTTCAGAGGCTGAGGCAGGAGAATCCCTTGAACTCAGGAGGCAGAGGTTGTGATGAGCCAAGATTTTGCCATTGCACTCCAGCCTGGGCAACAAGAGTGAAACTCCATCTCAAAACAACAACAAACAAACAAACAAACAAACAAAAACGACAAAACCACCCCCCCCAGAATCTTGTCTCTTTCAAAGAATTTCAAAACATTGCTCTTCAAACTTCCAGGAAGAAGGTGAGAATTCAGATGGCTCACTCATTCAGAATGCATTTATGAGGGGCCTACTGTATGCCAGGCACTTTGCTGTACTCTACAGAAGTGATAATTCAGACTTGGTGGTCCCTGAACTCAGGACACCTCTAGTCCTGGAACATGGGGAGATGAAGTGGAAAGGGAAGGATTTTTCTCCAGCCATGGGAAGACCTGGGTGAGGGCCCATCCTGCCATTCACCTGCTCTGTGACTTCTGTACCTCAGCTTCCACAGCTGTAAAGTGAGGGTGGGACTGGACAATCTCTGAAGACCATTTCTAGCTTTAAAGTTTGATTCCATGCCAGGTGCAGTGGTTCATGCCTGTAATCTCAGCACTTTAGTAGGCTGAAGCAGCTAGATCGCTTGAGCCCAGGAGTTTAAGACCAGTCTGGGTAACATGGCGCAACCCCATGTCTACAAAAAATACAAAAATTAGCCAGACATGGTGGCCTGTGCCTCTGTAGTCCCAGCTACTTGGGATGATTGCTTGAGCCTGGAAGGTTGAGGTTGCAAAGAGCCGAGATTGTGCCATTGCACTTCAACCTGGGTCACAGAGCAAGACTGTCTCCAGAAAAAGAGAAAGGTCACCTTTGAGGAAGCTGCTGCTCTCCGACCTGCTTTCCTTTCTCTGGCATGGTTTGGGGGAGCACCACCGCCCCAGGGTCAGGTTTTTCTTTCTTTTGCTCTACAAAAGTCAGCTTGGGAAGGGTGTGCCTCTTTGGACCAGCATTCCCTTTGGCTTCTGTCAGCATCAGACTCGAAGTCTGCAGAAGAAATTAAACAAACACAAAGACTTGGGACACAATCCAAAGACAGACATTTCTATTTTAACTAAGAGCTCCTCCCCAAACCAAATTATATTCTGTAGCAAGGCCATTTATAGTTGGGACTAGGAAAAGTAGTTAACAGTTACAAGAGAAAACATAGTGGACTTGCTCTTCTATGTGGATTGGGTAAATAAGTATCTGAATGGGACAAGTGTCTCTTGAACTTTCTATTCATGAGGCAGCTACCCTATTAGATTCCAAAAATGATTTTAGGAAGTTTAATATTAAAGACACATACACAATAAATCCGTATGTAGACAGCTGTACTCAGAGAAGCATAGATATAATAAATGGAGATATAAATAGAAAAATATATACATATGCATGGTAAATGGAGATAGAAGAAAAATCTATGGTAATAGATTTGTTGTAATAGAGTACTGCATTTCGTTTTGAGCTTTCTGGCAGCCAAGGCAAGATAGGAAATACAATGGTATATAGCTATCATTTTCATCTGATAACAAGAAGAATACCAGTGTGAGATACTGGGATTGCCAAAATTCAGAAAGATGTTAAGGCGAACAGACTTCCATGCCGCCAAATAATCCTACTAAATATCAGGTCAGAAACACCTGTTTGTGTCTCCTTTCAGACAGTTTTATATTTATAATTGATAAAGTAGTAGGTATATTCAGAGTTAGAAATGTCCAGCTCAGGCAGTAAACAGCCTTATGAAGGATGAAAGTGTATGCATGGGCCAGAGACTGCAAATGAGGGGAAATATATCATCATCCTACAAAGGCTTCAGCAGGATGTCCCTTTAGGCAAATAATAATGACCTTAACACGGGTTTATATTATATGGAGGATCTATTTTCTTTGCTTGCTTTCTTTTTTTGAGATGGGGTCTCACTTCATCGCCCAGGCTAGACTGCAGTGAAATGATCACAGCTCACCACAGCTTTGACCTCAAGGGCTCAGGTGATCCTCCCACCCTCTCAACCTCTGGAGTAGTTGGGACTACAGGCATGCACCACCACGTCCTGCTAATGTTTGGATTTTTTTGTAAAGATGAAGTTTTGCTGTGTTGCCCAGGCTGGTCTTGAACTCCTGGGCTCAAGTGATCCATCTACCTTAACCTCCCAGAGTGCTGGGATTACAGGTGTGAGCCACCGTGCCCGGCCTAAAGATTCATTTTCATTGATGTGGATATATTAACACAGACTCAGAAATGCATCCTTGCCTAAAGTGAATACAGGAGCAATGTGCAGTGCTGATAAGTCTGCTGAACAAGCCTTAGAAGAAATGTTCTTTTCTTTTCTAAAACTGACAATGGAAATAAAATGAGTTATTCTAATAAATAGGGTATGAATTTAGTAGACATGGAGGTCAGCCTCACTTACCTATTCACAATTCTGCTTTTATTAAAAATTTTTTTTTTTTTTTGGTGACAAGGTTGTGCTCTGTCACCAAGGCTGGAGTGTAGTGGTGTGATCATAGCTCACTTCAGCTTTGAATTCCTGATCTCAAGTGATACTCTTGAGTGGCTGGGTAACAAGCACATACCACCATGCCCAACTAATTTTTAATTTTTTCTAGAAATGGGGTCTTGCTATGTTGCTCAAGCTGGTCTTGAACTCCTGGCCTCAAACGATCCTCCTTCCGCTGTCTCTCAAGTGCTGGGATTACAGGTGTGAGTCACCGCACCTGGCCCAATTGTGCTCTTTCACCTCTACTCACCTTCTAGGCAGGAATCGGGGTCATTAGCAACTGATACATGCCCTAAGTAGCTGCTGTGAACCCAGGAGGAAAGACAAGCTTATACATTCACCCCAGCTTGTGGGGGAAATGCTATTGATGGGGTTCAGGACCCAGTACCCCAAAATCTTGGCATTGGAGAAAACGGTAGAAGCAGGAAGGTCTTTCTGACATTTTCCCGCCCTTCTGCCCTTCTCCCCTGAAACAGGCTGTAAAAAAGTCCCCTGGCTGTTCTCTGAAGTAGGTCAAGAGACCTTCACTTGAGAGTTGCCTGCCTTATACCTGGAGGAAAGGAATGCCCTCATTTCTGAAGACCTACAGACACAGAGAAGAATCTGAACAAGAGGCCTCGCTAAGATGCCTTCCGGTTTATTACCACTAGATCACAGCCCCTCGTCCAATCATACTCCTCTACAACTCTCCTCATCAAATCTAGGTATGAAAATACACAGGTTTCCTTGTTTCTGGGGGTCCTCATTTCTGAAGGCTTTCATGTCACATAGAACACATTCAATAGGCTGGGTGCGGTGGCTGATGCCTGTAATCCCAGCATTCTGGGAGGCCAAGGCAGGCAGATCACCTGAAGTCAGGAGTCTGAGACCAGCCTGACCAACCTGGTGAAACCCTGTCTTTACTAAAATTAAAAAGTTAGCCAGGTGTGGTGGCAGGCACTTGTAGTCCCAGTTACTTGGGAGCCTGAGGCAGGAGAATCACTTGAACCCAGGGGGCAGAGGTTGCAGTGAGCTGAGATTGTGCCACTGCACTCCAGCCTGGCAACAGAGTGAGACTCTGTCTTGAAACAAACAAAAACATAAATAAATTTGTATGTTTTTCTCTTGTTATTAATATCTTCTCTTATAAGGGCCTTAGCCATGAACCTTGCGATGGGTGAGAAAAGGAGAGTACTTTTCCTTCCCTACACTATAAGGGATATTATTGGGTCAATTGAAAAAAAGATTGTATCAATGTTAACTTTAATAAAAGTGATAATATACTATGGATATGTAATAAAGTATTCTTAATAAATACATACTGATGGTTTTAGGGGTTAAAGGGCCATGAAATATATACAGGTGACCCTTGACAGCACAGATTTGAACTGCATTGGGCCACTCACACATGGATTTTAGTTACACCAAATATGCCCAACTCTCCCACCTCCTCTTCCACCTCTGCCACCCCTGAGACAGCAAGACCAATTCCACCTCTTCCTCCTCGTCCTCAGCCTACTCAGTGTAAACATGACAAGGATAAAGACTTTTATGATGATCTACTTCCACTTAATAAATAGTAAATATATTTTCTCTTTGTTATGGTCTTCTCAACATTTTCTTTAGCTTACTCCAGCTTAGGTGTTAATCGATCGTTTATGTTATTGGTAAAGCTTATGGTCAACTGTAGGCTATGAGTAGTTAAGTTTCTGGGGAGTCAAAAGTTAACACGGGAATTTTTTATTGCATAGGGGGTTGCTGCCTCTAACCCCTGCATTATTCAAGGGTCAACTATACTTACTCTCGAATGGTTCAGAGAAACATTTGACATAGATATATGTACATGGATATGTAAAATTGTATATTTGTATATATTTATATGTGTGTGTACAGAGGAGAAGAGAGAAAATGAGAAAGCAAGTGATGAAGTGATGAAACAAGTGGGCAAAATATGAATCTAGGTAAAAATTAGATGGGTTTTCTTTCTTTTCTTTTTTTTTTTTTTTTTGTTTTTTAAGATGGAGCCTTGCTCTGTCACCCAGTCTGGAGTGCAGTGGCATGATCTCTGTTCACTGCAGTCTTCGCCTCCCGTATTCAAGCAATTCTCCTGTCTCGGCCTCCCAAATAGCTGGGATTACAGGCATAGGCCACCACATCCGGCTAATTTTTTATATTTTTGGTAGAGACAGGGTTTCATCATGTTGGCCAGGCTGGTCTCAAACTCCTGACCTCAAGTGATCCATCAGCCTCAGTCTCCTAAAGTGCTGAGATTACAGGCGTGAGCCCGTGCCTGGCCAATGGGTTTTCTATGTACGATTTATAATCTTGCAACTTTTCTGCATGCTTGAAATTATTATTATTATTTTGAGACAGAGTCTCACTCTGTTGCCAGGCACCAGGCTGGAGTATAGTGGTGCGAGCTCTGCTCACATCAACCTTCACCTCCCGGGTTCAAGCAATTCTCCTGCCTCAGCCTGGGACTACAGACGTGCACCACCACGCCCAGCTAATTTTTAAAAATATTTTAGTAGAGATGGGGTTTCCCCATATTGGCCAGGATGGTCTCAATCTCTTGACCTCGTAATCCGCCTGCCTCGGCCTCCCAAAGTGCTGAGATTACAGGTATGAGCTACCGCGCCAGGCTGCTTGAATTTATTTTTATATAGAAAGTTTTAAAAAGGCATGCTCTTAGATAAATAACTCTTTGGAACTTGTTGTTACATAAAGTTAAGACTTCTCTCCTTTTGTTCTTCAACAAACTTCCTGAAAGAGGGATCAGCACTCTACGTCACTTCCCTGCCTTCAGCTCATGCCTCAACCCAGCAAAGCTGTCTTCTGCTCGCAGCTCTCTGCTGCAGCCACTCTTTCCAAGGCCAACCCCGCCCCAGTGTTCTCCAGTTGGCAGCCTCTCAATGGGCCATATCCTTTATGACGCTCTATAGCATCTGATACTGTTGACCATGCCCTTCCACTTGGGACTTCTTCCAGGGCCTGGCCCCGCTGCACTGTGATGATGTCATTCAGTCATTTCTACACTCATGCTTCGGGAAGTGGAGGCTGTCTGAGGTTTTGGTCTTGGATTCTCTTCTTGTATCTCTTTCTCTCTCTCCTTCTCAGCACCGGAACCAGAGGCATGAAGATAATGATGGGGATGACTTCCAGAATTGTATCTTTAATCTGATCCTTCTCCAAGACTCCAGAACTCCATGTCCAGCTGCTTCCATCTCAGCCTCTGCATATCCCTAACCCATACTCTCTCACTTATCCTGCTCTGAGATCACTTTGTAGATGATTCAGACTCATGACTCTGGAATCTTCTCTTCATCAGCTTGCCCTGGATCCAATCCTGTTGGTTATTCTCCTCTGTAATACATTTCCAATCTTTTTCCTCTTCACTGTGGCCATTTCTCTGACCGAGTCAGGCCATCACCATTCTTGCTTTCATTGATGGCACAGCCTTAAACTGTTCTACCCATCTTCAATCTCTACCCCTTTGTCCTGCCAAGAACCTGTATTACCAAAATATTAATCTGATCATATTGCCCCTCTTCTGACGTCTCTTCATGGCTCCCCAGTACAAATAGAATAAGATTCAAATATCCAAGGTGTTCAAGGTCCTCCATTATTTAAAGACACCCTACCATTCTAACTTTGTCTTCAAACACCATGTACCCCACTCATGCTGGGTCAGTCACTGTGCCCTGAATCCTCCTGCACTCTCCTGACTCTGAATCTCTGTCCCTGTTTCCATTTATAACACCCTGCCCTTCCTGTCACTTCAGACAGAACCCAAATGCTGCCAGCACCAGGAAGTCCTCCTCAGGCTCTCCCATCCTGAGTTGGTCTCTTGCTCCCTTGGGTTCCCTGGTACGTTGCTGTACCTCTGGTGCTTTATATTCTTCATGCGTCTGTACCACCCAATCCCACCCCTAAAGGACCACCTGCTCCAAAGGCAGGTGCCCCTTACCTGTGGCATCTTCGTCATCATGGAGGCACTTAGCCAATGTCTGTGCTTTGTCAGATGACTGCACATTCACACTCACCTGTAAGAGGTAAAAATGCTTTTGCCAGCCTGTGACATTCTCCCCCTTGTTGACTAGAACCCAACTTTTAGCAACCTATTTGGTTTTCTGCTAGTCTGGGATTTGGGAGAAGACATGATAGGCACTGGTTGGCAGAGCAGCGGGCTATACCGTCTGCTCCCTGGGACACGGACAGGACTAGGGAGAGGACATCTGTTGGAGAATCTGAATAGGGCTGGGAAGAAGTAGGAAAGAAACAGCCCTTTGGGTTTGGGATATGTCTTCACTAGAAGGCTGTGTCAGTTGGGTGTAAGGGAAGAAAAACTTGCTCTCCTCACGCATTGCTAAGTTCATGGCAGAGGCCCCATCGCAAAAGAAAGATAACAAAAGAAAAGCATAGAAACTTACTTAAGTTTTAGATGACACATAAGGAAATGAAGACTCAAAAAAACAGGCAAATGTGTATTTTTATGCTCAGTGTGATGAAGAGATGGGTAGTCATGGAGAAGTATGACTGGACAAAGGGGCATGATCTAATGGCAATAAACGAGGGAGGGTGAAACGAGCAAGGCCTGTGTGTTCATGTTTTTCTCTGTCTTCAGACACAAGGATGTTCCTCTCCTCTCGGTACAAGAGGGGCCCCTCTCTGAGTGTCTTTTGACCAGCTTCAGGGCAGAAGCGTGGAAGAAAGGTGACAGGGACCTTCCTAGGTTACATGACCTGCTGCTGCTGTTTTTGCAAATGCCAAGATGGTGTGCACTGGGAGAGTGTGTCCAAAGCCCATCACTGGAAAGCAGATGCTGAGACAGAGTTGAGAGTGCAAGAGGTTTGTTGGGGGATAATGCCTGTGAAAGATGAAAGGGCGAGAAAGCCAAATTGGGTAGGGAGAGTCTCAGAATGCAGTGCACATCTGCCAAAATCTCTCTCAGCCCACCCCACCGGGAGCGCCACGCTGGCAGGGACTCCAGGCACCACATTCCACCATGCTCAGTCATTAGCTGGGGCTCCCCAAGAAGAGGGAAGCTCAGAGCCAGGGTGAGTCCCAAAGGCTCTACCAGCTGGAGGCTGTCAGCCCACCACACTCCTTGCAGTGGAGTGACAAGTCATCTCTTGAGGGGAGATCCAAGCAGCACACCCCCGAGGCTGTCACAAAGCCAGTGGGGAAGGAGCTGGATCATTGGGTCCTCCTAGATGTGGAGACATTAGTGTCTCCCTCTCCTCCTGAGTCCCCAACCCCCTATTCTCTAGGCCCACAAGTTTCTGAACCTGGTGCTGCAGGCATTTAACTCACAAAGCATGGAGGGAACTGAGGGGCTCCCTAATCACCAGGCGAGGACATGAGTAGAGAGGAATGAAGTTTCCTTATGGTGTGAACTCTCTGTGAAGCGCAGCACAGGCTCCTGTCTCTATCAGTGTGTCCTCCTCTCTATTAGAGATGTGACCTTGAGTCTAAGTCTCCAGCCTGCTTGGAAATGTTTCATTCAACTGACAAGGCCTTGTCGCTTTGTCATCTAAGCCTAGGCCTTCCACTTGCCTGCTGCCCCAGGGATACAGCAGAGAGACAGGCCTCCGCTCCTCAACTTTCTTGTGTTGGAAATCACTGAATCCCTGATGCTACTGTCCCCTTAAGAAAGAAAGAAATGAGAGTCTTGCGTCCCTACAAATAGGACCCTCCCCTCGCCACTCACCCTCCCCTCACCCTTCCCTTTCTTTCCCTCAAACCTAGACTGGTGAGAAACTGCAGAGAAACAACATCCACAATTAAGTACGAGGTCACATTTAGTTCAGCACCATTGGCTGCTTAATTGGCTGATTCTATTGCTGCTTTCCTCATCTGCCAGCACAGCCTCTAACAAGCCGCTTGCAGGGCAATTATTCCTCAGGTTCCTGAGCCCCGGCCGGTGGAAGGGTCTGCTCCCCTTCTGGGCATCCTGGTATCTGAGAATCTGCTGGTGGTGGGGAGTCGCTTCTCACCTAGAGGTCCTGGGTGAAACTTACATAGGACTTAGAGAACCACATCATCCAAAGGAGGAGGAGGCTCCAAGATCCAGGAAGGAAGCTCAGCTTTCTCCAGGGCCTTGAAAAGGCAGGCCCGACTACCCTTCTGGGGAAAGGGAGTGAGTGGAAAGGCAGTAAAACTTAATGGTTAGTTAATGCATAGAGTCAAGCAGGTCCTGGTCGAAATCTGGGTCTGTCCTTATGAGTGGTATGACCTTGGGAAAGTTACAGGCACTAATCTTTTCTAGGCTTCAGTTTCTTCCCATGTAAAACTGGGATCATAGGACTAACAGCAACAGCTATTCTTCCATTATCGCCTACAAATAAGGATTATAGAATGTTTCTGAGTCCAGTGTGCATTTTGCTGCCGTGAGAACAGCCATCGCAAACATTGCTGAGGGGATGGGCTGCTTATGCCCCTTCTAAACATAGCTGGGAGAAGTTGTCCATACTTACCATAACTCTCTGTGTGGACATGCAGGCCACTTAGGCCAAGCCGTGTTGCCAGCCGAAGGAAATGCCAGCACCTACTTTCTACCAAGACTTACAGGCTGAATGTGGGGCCAGATCTGAAAACATTTCCAGTCATTCATTACCGAAACTAAAGCCTCTGGGCTGCTCTCGTACAATGGTGTGCAGGAGCTAGAGCTCTCCAATAACAGCGCGGGACTGCTCTCATCCAGCAGCCGAGTTGGTGGTCTCTGTTCTACCAGCTGTGGTCAGGAGAAAGGCAAGTCCCAAAGAAAAATAGCTTTTTTGTTTTTAGATGTTGGGGGAAAAAATTGATCTTTAAAAAATAGAGGCCAGGCACGGTGGCTCACACCTGACATCCCAGCACTTTGGGAGGCCAGGGCGGGTGGATCACCTGAGGTCAAGAGTTTGAGACCAGCCTGGCCAACGTCGTGAAACCTCATCTCTACTAAAAATACAAAAATTAGCTGGGTGTGGTGGGGGTCGCCTGTAATCCCAGCTACTTTTTGGAGTTTGAGGCAGGAGAATTGCTTGAATTCGGGAGGTGGAGGTTGCAGTGAATGGAGATCATGCCACTGCACTGCACTCCAGCCTGGGCAACAAGAGTGAAACTCCATCTCAAAAAAAAAATTTTTCCATTTGTTCAAATTTTGCTAATGAGACTAAAAAGCTAGGAGATCATTACCAATTCCTGCCTAGCGTACACCAGAGTTTGGGTGAATCCAGTTCAATGTGGGTGGAAATAGTGATCGGTGCTCGGGAAGGTGATGTAAGTACTTGGACTCGCTGGAAGGGTTGCTGGTCCCCCCAGCCTACCTCCACACCCTTCACTTTGTTTACCTGATTTAGCAAGGGCTTTTGTGCTGCTCTGACTCATTCCCCAGGAAATTGAGAGGTGGGATCTGAGTTATCAATTTGGGCAGCGGGAGTGCGCCACTATCCTTTCAACAGATCTCTAAAACAATTGGCTTGATTTAAAAATAAAAAGTTACTAGGGATACCCAGGAAATGAGAGAATAAGAATGGAACCATTGAAATGTCTGGGTGTCTAAGGAATGTGCCTTTTCTGGATTCAGCTGTTTTCAATATCTCTAAGGAGACTTGGGAAGGAGTCAATAAAATAATCATGGATAATGGAAATTCAAGATAATCTCAAGCAATCATTCCTTTCAAAGTCTTCCTCAAAAATTTTACCAGGGTTGGTAAGGAGCTGAACTGCTGATTTGGAGTTTTACTTCCTTTTTTTTTTTTAACTCCATGCTTTCAGACAGGCTTCTTAATGAGCAGGGGGTGGCTAAAAGGCAGGTGGGTTCTTAATGAGCAGAGGGTGGCTAAAAGGCAGGCAGGATGTGAGAAGAGAAAGGAGGAGTCCTGATAATCCACATAGATAATTGGGCTGTGGTTAATCAAGGGCAATATTGCAGCCCTGGTTCTTTTAGAGGAAGCGCAGACAGAAAACACGGGGAAGAGCTTGGCATTTCAAACCCCTGAAGCCCTAATGAAGAAGAAATTTGTTCATGGGAGTGTTAAGGAGACTGTCATATCATAAGTACCCAATTAAGGAAGCCCTTGCAAGCTTATTCACTCCCAGGAAGTCTTAAGAAGGGTAGAAAATTTGTTTGTTTAAGATAAAAACAATCACAACAAAACCCTGTAAGTTTCATAGACATTTATTGATTGGCTCCCCAATATCTGTCCATTCTCCCCTTCCCCTTCTTAACAGTACCCCCAGCTTCCTCTGGGAAGTCATCTCTCCCATTTTCAGCTGTGTGCCTCTAGGTGATCCACCCCCAGTGTTAGGGAGAGGGGGCGTGATCTACTCTAAACCAATCAGTGCATCACTCTCCCCCTGGCCTTCTTGATTGGCTCCCAGTTGGGACCATCACTCTCATCTGCCCATCAGGGTCAACAAGACTCTGTTTGGGGTACTGCTGGCGGCCATCTTGCCCAAAAGAAGAGAGCTTCATGTGGGCGAAGCCTGATGAGGAAATGGAGAGGGAAAAAAACCCAGATTGGTCACATTGTTTGCGCCACTAGAACACAGCCCTTCCTAGAAGCTAGCCCTACCCTAGACTTTTAGATTAAACAAAGCTGATAAAATCCCTTGCTATGTGAGCAGTTTGAATTGAATTTTTCATTATTTGTAACTGAAACCAGTCAAAAGAAACCAGCAGTAGAAGACCAGATGGGACACAAAGCCAGCATCGTTGCCGAGAGAGGACATAAAAGAGGAACACCCAGTTGAAACTCTACGATATCTTCCTGTTAGACCCCAGATATGGAGCAGTCGTAGTCACAAGCCTTAGGCCTTGTTCTTGCTCCTACAGAGCCTGACGCTATGGAAGCAACGTCCAGGCTAAACCCTGGATCAAGGTTAGCAGCAGTACTATACAGGCCACAGCCTCACTGTAAGTGGCCAGTCATTAGCCCCTGCTCACCCTCGATGTGCAGGGAGTAGTGTGAGAGACTGTTGGGGCCTGACGCAGACTTATGCATACCTTCCGGAAAACTAGTGGTATCACCTCCTCGTGAAGGATGCCAGTCCCCTCTTCCCTCTATTCTGACAAGTTACCAACAAGGCCAAATGTTAGCTTCTCCTTGATAAAATAATTCTCATTGTGGACTGTACATGACCCACCGTGCCAGCGTCCTTTCCTGAGGTGGGTGGTGGAATTTTAGAGGGAAATGCCAGCATAATTTGTAAGTGACCTGAGACAGGATGAGCCCTTATTCCCATAGCATAGGACCTAACACATGGGAGGTACTGGCTAAATGTTTAGTGAATGAATGAATAGGACAATGAATAAATGAACTCCTTGGAACTGTAGTCATAAAAACTGCCTCACCCAATCTCTCACTTTGGGGGATCCATAAGGAAGAGATATACAGAGCAGGGATGAAGGGAAGCCCCAAGTAAACTTTTCTAGAGGAACAGCTGCTGACCAACTGTGCGACCTTGGGCAGGTGACCAGAAGTCTCTGAGCTCACCATTTTCATCAGAAACCAGAGTACTAGCACCTGCTGACAAGGTTGCAGCAAGGGTTAAATTAGAATATATGTCAGCACATAGCAGATGCTCAATAAATGTCTATTCCTTTCCCTCATCCTGGCCCTGGCCACTCCTAGCATTGGCCAGAGATGCACAGTCTGTGAGAATATCTGCCCAGAGGTGCACTGGTGCTCCCTTTTGTCTCTCAGAAATCTCTCTGCCATAAAGGGCGGCCCTGCAACCAGGGTATCTCCTGCACTTGGGAACCATCTGAGTTTTCTGTGGCTGCTATAGCAAATGAACACAAACTTAGTGGCTTGCAACAATACGAGTTTATACTGTCACAGTTCTGGAGACAGGAAATCTGAAATTAGTTTCAGTGTGCTAAAGTCAAGGTGACAGCAGGGCTGGCTCCTGCTGAATCCACTAGGGGAGTGTTGGTTTCCTTGCCTTTTTCAGTTTCTAGTGGTTGCCTGTATTTCTTGGCTTGTGGCTTCTTCTTCCATTTTTTTTTTTTTTTTTTTTTTTTTTTTTTTGAGACGGAGTTTCGCTCTTGTTACCCAGGCTGGAGTGCAATGGCGCAATCTCGGCTCACCGCAACCTCCGCCTCCTGGGTTCAGGCAATTCTCCTGCCTCAGCCTCCTGAGTAGCTGGGATTACAGGCACGCGCCACCATGGCCAGCTAATTTTTTGTAGTTTTTTAGTAGAGACGGGGTTTCACCATGTTGACCAGGATGGTCTCGATCTCTTGACCTCGTGATCCACCCGCCTCGGCCTCCCAAAGTGCTGGGATTACAGGCTTGAGCCACCGCGCCCGGCCTCTTCTTCCATTTTTGAAGCACATGACTCCAAGCTCTGCTTCAGGCCTCATATCATCATTGCTTCTGTAGCCACATCTCCCTCTAGTTTCCTCTTATAAAGACACTTGTGATTACACACAAGGCTCACTCAGACAAATTCAGGATAATCTCCCCATCTCGAGAGCCTTAACTTAATCATCTCTATCAAGTTCCTTTTGCAAGATGAGATAATGTTACACTAGACAGTTAGGTAGGCACGAGCAGGGAAGGACAGGGCTCCCACCCCAACCAGAAATGTCAGGTAACCATCAGGTGATGGTCAGGCAGTTGTTAAACTGTTTCTCTAAAATAATAGTCACAGCTAGCAACAAGAAAAGGCAATTTCCCATTAGAAAGAAAACACCTGAAGCTGGTGATCAGCAAAGAGATCTCAGGAGTTGGGCAAGTGAGCTCCAGCATGTGTACTAAGAGGCAAAATGGAGGAGTTTAACTGGTATGTGACCTTCCTCTACATTTACTTGACTGGTAAGGGAAGAAGAATGCCTCAAGTGAGCATGCACACAGCTTTAGTAAACATACTGTGCATGCAGCCCTTCCCAAGTGCTGGCCAGCTACTGCACATGCGGACAGCCCACCCCAAGGGAAGAATCAGGGGAGAAGAAGTGCAGACCTGGGAAGCACGCTGATATTGTTTGGCTGTGTCCCCATCCAAATCTCATCTTGAATTGCAGCTCCCGTAATTCCCACATGTTATGGGAGGGACCCGGTGGAAGATAACTGAATCATGTGGGTGGTTTCACCACACTGTATTCATGGTAATGAATAAGTTTAATGAGATCTGATGGTTTTATAAGGTGTTTTCCATTTCACTTGGCTCTCATTCTCTCTTGCCTGCCACCATGTAAGACCTGCCTTTCGCCATGATTATGAGGTCTCCCCAGCCATGTGCAACTGTGAGTCCGTTAAACCTCTTTTTCTTTATAAATTACCCAGTCTCGGGTATGTCTGTATCAGCAGCATGACAATGGACTAATACACATACCAACGTATAAAACCCCAAGTCACAGGTCAAACAGTGCACTTGAATCTCTCAAGTTGCTTGCTTGGCCCTCTTCTAAGTGCACTTTACTTCACTTTACTTCATTTCATTCCTACTCTAAAACTTTTTAATAAACTTTCACTCCTGCTCGAAAACTTGCCTCTGTCTTTTACTCTCCCTTGTGCCCACTCCATTGAATTCTTTCCTCTGAGAAGGCAAGAACTGAAGTTGCTAAGAGAACCTGAACAGAACAGAATTGAGACCTGTTCTGATTTGCTGTTGCCAATAGTAGCATTCATATGTTCCAGGGATTAGGACGTGGGTATCTTTGTGGGTCTTTATTCAGCCTGCCACAGGAACCAAGTCATAGGGAAGCTTGGTTGGGCCACACCACACTCAGGGGCCTCTTCTCTGCCTTGGACAATGGCTGTGCCAAAGGGGAGACAAAATGTACTTCTCTTTAAAGGGCTGCCCTGTAAGTTTTTTTCTCCCGGTGAACTCTTTCTCCTAACCGTTGTCAT